TAATAAAATTTGCAAATTGTATATTTATAATATATAAATGGTTAAAATAAATATTCAATATATTATATTAAAAATATTTATAAGTTGAATAATAGCAAATAAAATACAAATTAAATATTTGATTTTAATCTTATTAGTACTTAATTACTATCTGATTGATGTTAATTTATATTGTAATATAAATCAATATCAACCAAATAGTAATTAGGTAGCAATCAGATACTTGATTCATATTTGATTTCTATTATTAGATCTGTATATATTCTAATTTTTGTTTATTTAAAAATTTATAAATAGTCAAAGAATATTGATTTAATAGGCAAATCACGAGTCACCTAAACAAATATTTTTTTTTATATATAAATTTTACTATAAGCCTAAATGTGCAGCACTTCTATCTAAAACTTTTTTTTTACTAAGTAAATTACTTTGGGCTTGTAATAAAAGTTGTAAAACTCATCAAAATGTATTTAATAGTAGTAAAAACATTAAAATTGGTCTGGTAGTTCTTGAGAAATCTTTAAAAAACTTCTTTTCTACATATAAAATTTCTTTAAAAAAAATCGATTTTTTTTAAAAAAATTTTATATGTGGGAAAGAAGTTTTTTAAAGATTTCTCAAGAACCACCAGACCAATTTTAACGTTTTTATTACTATTAGATACATCTTGATGAGCTTTACAACTTTGTTACAAGTCTAAGAGTAATTTACTTAGTAAAAAAAAAGTTTTAGATAGAAGCACTGCACATTCAGGCTTATAGCAAAATTTATATATAAAAAAAAAATTTTGTTTAGATAACTTGTAATTTGGCTATTAATTAATTAATAGCAATTAGTATTATAAATTAGTTTTTATTTATTTAATTAATCTTTATAAATAGGAATTATATACATGTACTCGAAGGTACATAAACCCGCATTATGTGACCTATATAGATCCTTACCAAAAGTCAAATCAGGTGTAACGTTACACAATCAGAAAAATTCAAAACAAACGTTCGTTTTGACTAAAATTGCTTATTTCACAAGAAATTGCATATTAAACCATCTTCTGTACATTAATAAAAAGTTTTCCTTGAGCGATTTTATTATGTAATTGACTAAACCCAAATCCTAACATAATTCTCGCCCTAACCCTAACCTAATATAAACAATATCGATATTACTGTAATCAAAATAATGGGTACAAAAAATTTAATGTACCCTACAGGTACATCTATATTAACTCTTATAAATATTAAATAATTATACTAATTAAATATTAATTTGAATAAATTAAACTAATAATAAATAGCAACTAGCATCCTAATTGCTACTATTATTTAACTACAATCAGTATTTGTAAAATTGGTTTAATTATTTATAATTAATATTTAACTAGTTTACAATAAGTAAACTGATTAGTATTTAATTAGATATTTATTTAACATTATTAAACTTGTGAAATGCAAAAATCTATTATTCACTTGTGAATATTTTGACAAGATAGTTAATGATAAAGGTGAAGAAGTTCAAGTTTGCAAAGTTGTAGATGAAAACAGTATAAAATATAGTGCAAAATACAAGAATATTAAAAGTTCAACAAGAAATCTTATTATATACCTTAGAAATATCCATGAGATCATTTTACAGAATGAAGTAGAAGTTGTAAAAGAGATATATAAAATAAAATTTAAAGTAAAATTAGACTATGCAAAATTAATTAATTGGTTTTCATAACCTAGCCAGGTCAAAATTTGAAATC